GCTTTTAAGTCCACTTGAGATTTCCCCTCTCCGGCCGCCATTATAATACACAAATTCACAAGTGTGGTTAAGCAAGTCGGATTCGAATTTCATAGCAGAAAAGTTTTCAGGGAAGAAAGGTCCGAAATTTTGCACAAAATGAATAGTGCTTGTTTCCACTCAAGCACGACGATAAAACTATACTCCCATATATAGGAAAGCACACGAAAGTGCGAGGTGTATCCAAAGACCGTTGTGTACAAAAAACTCCCCCCCCCCAAAAAAAGAAATAAAAACCCAAACAGCCGCGCCTTGAAGGCGGGACCACCATTTCAAAAGGGTTACAGATTGGAAGTATGTGTAATTATCACTTAGGTCTATGGGAGTCGATTTACAGATCTAAAACCCAAGGGGTGCAGACCAGCACATCGACTCCCATAGACCCCATAGCAAAGTATTCGAAGGTACACAAATTGTGATTTGGCTCGCGTAGGCCATTTTTAGCAAATTTACTGGTCTGCAGCTCTAGTAGCCTTGCACCAATGCCTTCTTTAATTTTCTTTCAATAGAGGGCGCACCACATAAATAGGGGTCTCGATCCCCACCACCAAACTTGTTTTCGTGGACAACAACTCAAGGAATACATGATATATTAAGTTGAATCTTCGTCCACTCATTTGTTATTATGTTCAACATTACGAGATACAATTGCATAAGAAACTGTTAAACAATGAAGCTGTTATGACCGTAACAATGCAGTGTTTTAAGCGCGACAAATACAATCCGAATGGAAGTCAACGTGGATGTTTCGCGTTTAAAGCACTACATTGTTGCGATCATATTATTGTTATTGTTCAACGGTTTCTCTAGATATTCAATCTACTCATGTTACACATCGTGGAAAATAAGTGCACGAAATTTCAATTAAATACATGTTGTATTTCGTGAGTAGTTGATCGAAAACGGGCTTATTCTTTTTGTTCATTTATAGTGCAGCATCCGTGTTGATGCGTATTTATGTGGCGCGCCCTCTATTGAACGAAACTTAAAGTAGGTGCGCACGTTTGTCTCGGTGCGAGACCACAAGTTTTATTGAGCGCGCCCTTTCAGGAAAGGCACTTTCAGTTGTTGTTCGACGGTTTCGCACGAAATTGAATCTCCTTTATGTAACACATCAAGACCGATCACAGGTCGAACTTACAAATTCATAAAGTGGGCCTGGTGGGCTCGGGTATTGCCAAAACAACGAGTGTGTTATTTTTTCATGAACGTTGACTTTCGTTTTTCTTTGTTTTCATTCGGTGTGTATTGTCCACGTTAAAAATACATTTTTTTTTTTGTCTGACGGTTCCCATAAAATTAAATCTCATAATGTTACACAGTCATCATAACAAATCACTGGACGAATTTTCAATGTTGAAATACAGAACAAACTCGCTGATGGGCAACATTTCAAGAAATACTAGATGTATTTAATTAAAATTTCAAACCCCAAGTTGGAGATCTAGAATTGTGAGCATTTAAAAAAATGGAAGTACGTGTAACAATAACTTATTACGAGAACCCGCATATTTGGTAAATGGGAAGCTTTTGTGCATACATTTTAGTTCACGGACTTACTTCCATGTACTGATACAACATATCGCCAAAGCTAAAAACATTACCCTAGCACACTGACTTTTGATGCAGGCAGCTAACTGTAAACATGGAAGATTCTCCCCAAAGAATCATCGCAGTTTTGCTCATGAATATGGAAATTCGCATGAGCAGCAGAACCAAAAAAAGGATCAAAACAGCCATGAAAAATGTAATCCTTTTAGCATACGAGACCTTAAAGAAGTCGTTGCATCTGTTGAAGTTGTAACTTGAACTAGATGCAGGCAGCTAGCTGTAAACATGGAAGATTCTCCCCAAAGAATCATCGCAGTTTTGCTCATGAATATGGAAATTCGCACGAGCAGCAGAACCCCAAAAGCATCAAAACACCCATGAAAATGTGATCCTTTTAGCCTACGAGACCTAAAAGAAGTCGTTGAATCTGTTGAAGTTGTAACTTGAACAGATTTAGTTGTTATGCACCCTACTTGAGGTGTTGAGCAACTTTGTTGCATCGAAAGAAAAGAAAGAAAGAAGAAATTAAACTAAACATCATTACCGTCGATCTCTCTAGGTTTTTTTGTTCAGGCCTCCAAGCTACACTTACATTTCTGTGGATGCACCCTTTGATCAATTGCGAGATCGAATAAAAATAACAAACAGTTCAAAAAAAAACTTCAGACAGATTAAGGAACGCAGCGGACCAAAATGTATCGGCGCTCCTCTCGCATAGCCAAATGAACATAGCGCAGTTGATAGGGACATGATTAATGACGTGTAAAGATGATCCGATAGTAATAAGAGTTCGTGCTGCCAAGTGACAGCCAATAATGTATTGTTTTAATTTGGTCCGTGTTTAGAATTTGGTTAGTGTCCGGTGAAATCCAGAGGATGTCGACGCGTGCTCGTTTCATGTCATGCCATGTTCCGCTTATTTTTTTTTATATGTGTGCTTTTGAATGTTCAAGCGTGAAAAAGTCAACATAATTAGCTGTACGCGGGAGTCTCGACACGCGCCTTATTTCCCATTTGGTGCAAGAGAGTCTACATTAAATACAAATACGCACGTTTGGTTTGACGGTGCGATGGTTGCCCGGATTAAATGTGCATTTATTGCGGAACCCCGTTTGTTTGTCTGTTGATTGAGTTATACCTGGTGCGTCAGTCACTTTACAGGCGTCGTTCAAGTGGCGTTTACCAAGTGGCGTTTACCGAACTCCGCAAATATTTTCGAACTCGCTTCGTTTGTGGAAGCTATCGCAACCGGGACGTCTATTTACTGGTCGAACATTTGTTTAAGCTTCCAATTATAGCAAAATCAAGATCAGGCCTGACGACATTGACTTGAAGGTGCGCTAAATCGATGTTGATGGACGAATTTGAATTTTAGAAACGGTGAATTCGAATGATTAAACGCTTTAAAATAGCCGGGAAAACGTATGAAAAAAAAAACAGTTACTCTTCAAACAAGAGGACTAATATGACACGAATGAAGAAGTTGGAGGGCCTGATGTTTTGACCCTTGCAGGTGCATCTTTCTGAAGAAAGATCCAGCATTGTCTTCAAAATTAATGTTTTTAATGATTGACCCGATTGGCGTAGGCCTCTATTTTCAACTTTCGTCTTGACTCGAAAGCATTGTTTCAGTGGTAGGGATTGTAAGTCAGCTTCTCTCTCCCCCCCCCCCCCCAAAGAAACAAAATCCCACATTCTTGCCAATTCCAATTTCTTTCCGCGACAGGAAAGCAGTCCCTTTGCGGCCCGATAAACTTCCGATATTTCATCAAATATCAGCCGCTGGTGCGCTTCTTATACCGTGGACGGTCACACAACACCCGCAAACGCAAGATTATGGTGGGCACAAAAAGAATCACTTGACGGGCTTTCAATTTCATCTCGTCGAGTTTAGAGAGGGAAATGTCACTCGAAGTCGTCAGAATTTGACTGACGACGTCTTCAGCAACATTAACGACGGTTCCATGAATCGTAGGAGAGTGTAACTCCGGGCAAAGTCCCACATTTTAATCCTCGATATTTCACTAATGTCGTTAGGCCGAGCAGAAATCCATGTATAATGGACCAGAGGGATTGACTGAGTGCAATCAATCGAAATTTTACCCGGCATTAATTCTCAATCCAGGATGGATATATCTGGTGGGGGATCTCGATTTTGTCCAGGTAAATTCCCAGGGTGCTCTACGTATACAGCGAATCCGAATTTAGCCTGGCAAATATTACCCGACTTTAAAACGAACTTCCACAGACGCATTGTATAGAATGACCATTCACAAGGGGTATTTTGTTCCCCACTCAGACCATGGTGTATTTATTTTACTACACCTCATAAGTATTTAGCAGCCTCATTGTCTTTTTAGTAGCCTCACTGCCTTGTCCATAACGCGGCCTTCGTTTACTCAGCACAATTCAAGTTCTTCGTTACAAGTACATGAACTAGCCTAGTGCCAACACTCTTTAATGTGTCTTTACTGCAGTAGTACCAGATTACAACAAGAGACTGGTTCCGTAAAGATTACATGCCATAGACTACATGTCTAGGAGGCGGGTTCCAGAGGGAATTTTTGGTGAAACCAGAAAAACTACCGCACGGCAGCGAGCTGGAAACTCAACGGGATGACGTCACCTGGGCGCGTATCATTTATACTTCCCGGACGCGCGTCGGAATCGGCCAATGACGCGCTCCAATTTGATCATGAATATTTATGAGGTTAATAGTTATTCCTACACCTCATAAATATTCATGATCAAATTGGAGCGCGTCGTTGGCCGATTCCACCGCGCGTCTGGGAAGTAAAAATGATACGCGCCCAGGCGACGTCATCCCGGTGAGTATCCAGCTCACTGCCGTGCGGTAGTTTTTTTTCTGGTAGCACCAAAAAAATCCCTCTGGAACCCGCCTCGTAGAACATGTAGTCTGTGGTGTGAAATCTTAACGGAACCAGTCTCTTGTTGTAGTCCTTGTAACTACCTCAGTTGTCAAAAACAATTTGTTTTATTTTTAAACCCCTTGTATTTTAATGTAGTGGTCCTTTCCCTCAAAGTAAAACCTTGTATCCCTTACATAATAGTTGATCAGGCCATGAGTCTTTTGCACTGTCTTCTCTTATGTAATATGTAAGGTCTTTTGTTAAAAAATTACTCAGTCTGGTCCCTTTTTTGAGTTTTGGGAGCTATTGTACAGTTAGGTAAGAGTTAGGTAAGAGTTGGGAGTCCGGTAGAAAGTTTTTCTCACTCCCCCTTGGTTAACTGTCACCCCAGATGTACTGAACAATAAACCAGAATTGACGATGAATCTGTGCATGTCTGTGTCCCTTCTTTTGTTAGTTAGGTTATAGCATGTATGCTAGAAAACTCAACCTCTTGTTATTCAAAGTTAAAATCGGCTTTTTACAGTTAAGTGTGGAAAGTGAAAGTGATATGTGTAGAGTTCGTGTGTTAGTTTGAAATAGAACACCGCATGCTATACCATTGAGAAAAGGTTGAAGATTTTGGAGCTCCTCCGACTAAAACTTTGTTGGCCATTGACAAACGTAGGGCAATTTTGCCTACTGTTAGACACAAAACCAGGTGTCTAAAACTGACAGCTATATATAAGATCCTGCCTTAGTCATTCAGGACTAAGAAACTGCCCAAACAGAAGTTTGCTTCATGTTGTCAAGTCACAGGCTCGCGAAGGAGAACTCAACCAGTACACAAGCGCTTTATCGAGAAGAAGCTCGTAAGTTGTTTTTTGTATATCTAAATTCACTGCATTTTGGTTGAATTACATCGTGAAGTATTTCGTTACATGTCTGTGAAAATGGTACTTGTTAGTATGTTGAAATCGACTTTAAGATTGCATGTCAAAGTGTGACTTGTTCAATTTGAAGGACTTAAAGTCAAAGTAAGATGTGGTTGAGTGTATATTATTCAGTGACATACCTTGCTTTCCCATATATTTTGAATTAAGGAAACTATACTTGGAAGGTTTTGGTTATTTCTTTAAAACTTATAGATGGCCAAGTGGTAATCCTAACCCTACGGTCACCTGTTACTACCTGGGTGAACTCCGCTAGCTACCCCGGCCCAGACACGAGAGAGCGTTGGCACCAGACTATTTCATTGACTGGCGAAAGTACACCGATAAAGTCTTAAAGTTGTAGTTCACCCCTGTATGAAACTTAATTGACCAAGGGGCACACGTTAACCGTAATTTTCAGTCGTTGTTAACCCATTTTATGTCCCATTAGAGCTATTTTATAGCAAGCATGTTTAGAAAGTGGCATGGAGCACGTTCATTTCACGCGTTTTGCAAAGTCTACAACAATCTCTGCGAGAAAAAAAAATGGGTCATTTTCCTCATGGTGCGCATATCATGATGCGGTGATTTGTTTAGCCAATCCGCCTGTTCTCACTCAATTTCTTCGGCGTGTTGTTCCCCGAACCACGCTCATTACCAAACTCCATTAGCGTGACGCACACGTACTAGTTCCCTCGACTGACCTATTTTCGCTGGTGCCATTTCACCGTACTTTGTATTCTACATCAATCGTCCGTTTTTAACCCCCTTTTTAAAAGGCAGTAATTGACTTTTCATGTGCCGCTCGTTTTTGGTTGATGTTTGATGATCCCCGGAAATTGTGGCTGCAATGACTTCCCGCCATTGCTGAGAATTCCCTATAAGTGTGAACACGAACGTGTCCTGGAGGCAGGGAGCTTTAGGTTAATGGCTTGATGACGAACGCTTTCTGTTTGTCCCGGTGTCACATGAAGTATGGACTCTTTTAAAATATGTCCTTTCCACTTCATAATGGACTTTGAGCTTTACACTTGACTTGTTACTTTTGTCATTCTGACCACTAAGGAATGCGCAATTAACCAAATGAGCCCGGAGTCATTTCACAGAGTCCAAATGTCACACAACACCGGTCTGTTTTTGTGGAGAATTCGGTTGAAATACCGCTGGACGGGGCTAGATATACGACTTGTGGACTGGTTTCCAAGGTGTCATTAAAGCACAGAAAGAAACCACCAAGTTTCTTGTATTCTTGAATTATCATTCAATCACAAGTGGAGCCATGCAGACGATATTTAAATCGATGCTCTTTATTCATTTCCTTCCTGACCCTCTAAGGTTTTCGTTAAAAATTAAAAGAAAGGAAAAGGAGACCTTCTCCCGTTTTTTTTACATTCATAAAGACCGGCAAGCAATTTTTTTTCCTGCAACCAAGAATAGTCACGACCCAATAATGCGCATGCGTCAGTTGGTAACGGAATGGTTCTCGGACTTAAAAATCATCCAGAGTCATGACTGAGAAGAAAAAGGTGAAATTTATTTTATCGATCAGTAGGACTTGATTAAAACAGTTTGGGAAAGAAAATTTTATTTTTGAAAAAAAAAAGAAATGTACAATTTCGGGGTTTTGAACCCGCAACCTGCTGCACTTGGACCACCTATTAGCGTAGCACCCCACAAGTGAAGCCACGCTATCTGCCGAGTTATAAAAACTAGAAAAAATACTTCAAATCATGCGACATACTTATACATCTTGTATTACGGTCAATGACTTCACTAGCCTGCAGTAAAAATAGATGCGCCACAGTGAAGCCACGTCATCTGCCTAAGAAAAGAAACTATAAAAGAAGTTACTTCAAATCATGTGACATATTCATTCATTCGCGTATTACGGTCAATGACTTCCATAGCCTGCAGAAAAAAAATACACGCGACCGGCCAGCCACTTGCAACCCTCCCCCATCCCGCCCACCCCAGCAGACCCGAAACAAAATTTGTTACAGGATCCGCCGGATGGCGCTGCTTTTTACGCACCGCAGTTTGTCACGACCCCACTTTGAACATGTACAAGAATTAACTGTTCGCCTACGCAGGAATGACCGAGCGCGAGGCTTTTAATTCATGGGGATTCGGCTCCGCTGCCCTGCACCACCGATATCTACAGCCTTGAGAAACGTGCCGCGAATTTCACGCAGCGGATGCGTCGGAACAAACAGCGGTGCACAAGTGTTCTCAAGTGTTCTCCTCTCCCTAGCAACAGATGCCAACTGTTTGCTCTGAAGACAATTCGCATGAAGGCTGTAAGGATGGCGAGATCGCTATATGAGGAGACGGGAAGACATTTGAATGGATCCACGCTCGGTTTCCGGTTTATTGCATTTCCGTTCTGCTCGAAGACATTCGAATTACACACGAAGGACTTGCATCTTATATAAGATTTGAGGCTTTGCACGGTGGGGTAGACTTGCATCTTGTTGTCATCGAGAACGTTTATAGATGCCAGGGGAAAAGACACATGTGCTGCATTTACTGCTTCGATTTTTTTCTTGTTGCTCAGAATTTTGTCATGATCAAGAATCTGATAAATACAATGTAGATATCTACTTGCGTCAATATAAAAACCCTATTTTCACTGCTATCTTTAACTGCGGTTCCTGTTCTCCTGAAAAATACCGACACAATGTTAGTTTGGGTAAAAATTGCGTATTTGTGAGGACTAAAGAAGCTTACACATTAATATTTACCATAATCCGTTTAGGCCTATATAAATACGTTCTGACATATTATTTGTTACTAGGAGAGATTGATTGGGCTCTCGGTTTTTTTTGCCGCTGCATGCTGAATTTGCACAGGCGCAGAGTAAATAAGGAGCTGCATGTTATTACGCTGCGGCCGATTTTTGTTTGAGCATGAGACATTTTCCCCGAAAGTCTCGAGAATATACTCTTGTGTCGTGCGTCCGGTGATGTAAACATAATTTCTTGATTTAATTTTTCGACAAATAACTTGATGTATGGCTTTTCAGTCCTATCGAAAGACACTCTCAGCTGGGCAACTCATATTCAAAATATCACCTCAAAAGCAAACAAATCTACGCAGTATCTGTTATCCACCAGAAATGCCTCAATTTACCACCAGAAATTCCTCAATCACCAAGCATAGGAATCATCAAGTAAGAAAACAAGAGACGAACCTGTGTTAACAGGAACGGGGTGCCCATCTCTCTTTCATTAGCGATTGGGCCGGGCCAGACTCATATGCTGCTGTGGGGGAGGGGGGGGGGGGGCTCGCCACACTTACTCCACAGCGAGTCTGTTAATTTCCCAGCATTGAATAATGCCGGTACCCTTTTTGAGAGGAGTAATTGAGGTAAAGCGCCTTACTGCAATAGCCGGAACTAATCCCTCCGGATCTAATCCCTCCGGATCGCAACGGCGTATGCTGGATCTGCTGCGATACTAAACGCCACTTGAGAATGTGCCTGGCTTTTTCTCTCTCCTTATTTGGCCAAATAACTTTCCCACTCACGGGGAAGTTAAAGTAAGTGCGACATGAAACGAAGTGAGTGGTTTTGCGGTAGAGAGAAGTTGTACCGCAGGAAAAAAAAGCGACTTTAAACTTTAAATTGCACTCATCCACTTTTATTGCACTCATCAGAAATCGATGTGATAGTGCGTCCATTGTCCACTGACGAGCATTCTCAAAGACTGAAAGTGATTTATTTACGAGGCAGCGTTTGTCTTAATATATTTGAAGATCTTGAAAGGCATTGAAGAGACGCGCAAGGCCATTGAGGAGCACACTCGTCCCGAGAAATTGAAATATTAATGCCGGAATTTGTCGAAAGACTGCACACGTTTACTCGGAATCGATCGGTGTGCAAGCTTCACTTTGGTAAAGAATTGTATGTTTAAAGGGAAGATATACAACATTTGCAAACATCAGAAAACGAAATAATCAAATTATAACGAAACATCTGAATGGACTGTAAGCGAATGACAATCTAAATCGTCCTGTAAAATCGTGGCTCCTGGTGTGCCGATATTTCCAAGAAAACTTGTATTTTTACAACGCTTGTCGGCCGACCATCGTTGGAGAAAACTGGCATTTTTCAAAAGTGCTCCAATAGCAAATTGTTCATATTTAGTTATTCCCCCATTTACTTGCAATTTATTACACACCTGTGAAGGGGTACAAGCCAGGTAGACTGATTCTCTGACCTTATAATTCCCCATCTATAAATTGCTTTGTTTAATCTTAAGTGGGGTCAGGGAACGACTACAAGAACATGATTGGTTTTGTTGGTTTTCTAGCATCTACGAACCCAAAACGTGAAACAAGTCAGTGTAACAAATTTGCTTTAACGTACTATTCCTCCAAATCCATTTGTTTCTGAAAATTACAGCAAAAGCAAATTTTGTACATTCCCTTTAAATCGCCCTGTTGTAATGGACGTAAATACGGCAAACAGAAGACAAGTGCAAAAGAGAATAAAACGATGGATGAACGGACTATATAGAATCTACAGCGTGTCCCAATAAACATTGTGCATAAAAAAAACTGCTGATTGTCTCAAAAGTTGGTCAGACTAGCTAATCAAATTTGATAGCATTTTCAAGCCAATGGCCTTGTTTATAATTGGTGAAAAAAAAATCCAACGATGCAAATCTGAGACATCTTTGTGGTTGGGCAATGTATTTTTCGACATGCACAGTGTAATGTCCACACCTATTATTTGCTTGTATATACCAATTATAGGGTTATTGGAATAGGTTTAATACGCAGTGCTTGAAATATATCATGGCCTTTATGTTGTATTTGGATAAGGGTGTTCACAGATAACGTTTTGGGTACATAATATCATATAATCAAATTTAATACACTTGAATGCCCAATATCAGGTGTTTTGTCTTTGACAAAGATTGCAAGGAACAATGACCATGTAATCTTCTTTCCTAGCTAAAATGTATTGGCCTTAAGCTTATCTACGGGATTCTAATGTGCCGGAGGAAAATAATATAGCCTTTCAAAATCAACGATACCTCTGGTTTGCATCAATGGATTTTCTTGATATTTTTACCAATTATAATCATGACCATAGGCTTTAATAAACTTTGGTTAACTAGTATGACCACCTTTTGAGCGACTTCTTCATGCGCAATGTTTAGTGGGACGCGTTGTAAACCTAGTGACAAACGTCGGCAAGAACAGCCATAATATATACACGCAAATACAGAGATGCCCTTAAAAACTGGCGGAGGATCAATAGGCGTATAACAGCGGTGCGCTTCATTCATTTATATTGCAGTCCTCAGAAACTGATTTGATCTTGCGTCGAATCTATTCGCCCGTCAGTTTCGATCTCAAACTCTGTCTTCAGTCTATTCATTAGACACCCTTTGTCAGTGATAGGCCTATCTCAAGATCTTAAAAGCCAGCAGAAGGGACGCACAATGCCATACGCGGGCTTATTTCTCCCCAGATATTAAAAATTAAGATGACGTTTTGTCGAAGCTTGCACGCAATTACTCGGAATCGATCGGTTTGTAACCATAACGTCGCAAAGATGCTTATTCTTCTCATTGTTTTTTTTAAAGGACGTTGTTATGGTAACCAAGAGCAGACAAATAAACAGAGCGGAACAATAGATAGAGGAATGGCAAACAATATATTCATAGCGACAAAAGTTCCAAAGAACAGCAATTAATGTAAATACGAATGTCCTTAAACTAAAGGAAAATCGATAGGCATCCAGTTCACCATCAGTTACAGCCTACATGATAAAATATTTAAAGATGCATTTAAGATGTACGGTCGATACTCTCAAGTTCTCGTTTACAAGCCAGTTTGTTTCGCTTGCCGCAAACCAAAGTAACTTTGGATATACCTGGCTAGGAAATAAAAAAAATAAGAATCTAAGTCTGTAATGTAAGTCCTTTGGGCGTAAACGCATCATGTCAAAGCCTGTACAGGGTGAGTCAAAAAGAAAGTGGCCTGGGTTAGTAATTTCTTCTCTGAAAAAACGGAAACATTTGATACACCAATGAAGTATGCCTTAAAAAGCCTGTTTTTCGCTCTTCCTTTCCACTCTGTCTCACCAAAAGAGCCCATTTTTTATAGCTGTCCATGGAATGCCAAAGCTATTGAGCTGAGTGAAAATTACAGATGACATGCAAGCAGTCAAATACAAATGCGATTTTAATCATTTGACTTCAGAAAGAAACATTACTTT